GAAAAATAAAACTCTAACATCTTGGAAATCAGAAGAATCGAATCCATACACCCCCCAAGCCACAATAGCTAAGAACCAGAATCAAAGATATAGTAGTAAATGATTCAACAGGAGCAATGTGCTCCATAGGAAGGAAGTACTATAATGGGGAGAAGCTAACAGCCAGCAGGAGGCAAGCGGATTTGCTTAGTAGACTGAAAAAACTGAGGAATTCAAGATTAACACTTGGCAAATAGAGATGCTATTGAAAGGGGTAGTATGGCAAGAGACTACACAAGGGAGAACAGTTTGGTGGCTGTTGGGTTGTTTGTTTCAGGATAATAAACATTAGGAATGGAGGGTCCCCAATCCCATTTTACCAAGTAAGTCCCTTTCAGGGTACCTGGGGATTGTTCTTTAGGGAAGCTTAACCAGAATTGATGTACTTGGGATATGAGCCCCAGAGGATGACAGTAATAAAGAAAAAAGAAGAAAAAGGAGTAGATTAAAAAGATCAGCATCCAGATTTTAAAGCCCATCACATGTACAACATAACAAATGGAAAAAAAAGATTCACAACAAATTTCATCATTGTGAAACTTCAGAACATCAGGGTAGAGAGAAAACTCTTTCTTCCAGAGAGGAAGAAAGAAATAGCTCATATGCAGAGGATCAAGAATAAGATTGACCGTGCACTCTTAAAAGACAGCTAAAAGACAGGAGAACATGCCATAGGTTTTTCAACCTGAAAGTTTACAACCAAACTATCAATCAAATATAAAGGCATTTTAAACACAAAAATTCTACCACAAATGCTTTCCTAGGAAGCCACTAAAGGACAAGTTGCTTCAAATGAGGAAGTAAACCAGGAAATAGGAGAGAGGTAAAGGGAATTTCCAGAATGACAGCAGGGAATGTGCCAGGCCCCCAGCTGTGCAGCAGGCCTAGAAAGTCACCAGACCAGGCTGGAGGAAGAGGTCAAGGTTCTAAGGCTATCTGGATATGGGAATGAAATCTCCAAGGAAACACTACAATGCATAAGTTAACTGACAGACTTGACTTTGGAGGAAAAGTATATATAGAGCTATTTTATAAGGCTCTTGTGCAATTTGAGAAGATAAGAGTATTCCCAAGCAAATGAAAAGAAAAAGTTATTAACTCCAGGAAAAACAGAAAGTTGCCCCAAAATGGAGCTATTATCATTATTTCAATAATCAAAACTTAGGCTGAAAGTTTAAAATTGAGGTACAACTTTGCTGGGAAAATAAATTGAGGAAAAGAGAGTATAAATAATAAAAATCTTTATTTTTTGGTGGCGTGGAGTTTGAACTCAGGTCTGTATGCTTGCAAAGCAGGTGCTCTATCACTTGAGCCACTCCTCCAGTATCCTCTGAATCTCAAATCTCAGCCTTACTAGTAGCTAGGATTACAAGTGTGAGCCACTGGCACCTGGCTTTATCTATTATTATGGGAAGACAATAAGCAATGTAAAAAATTGATTAGTTGACAGCAATATTGTTGCCCCTCCATATCTACTAGTTCCAAATCCATAGATTCGACCTATTGCAGATCAAAAAAAAAAATTTAATGCATTCAAGAGCTGGGGTGTAGCTCAAGGGTAGAACACTTGCCTGCTGTACACAAGGCCCTGGGTTTGATCCCGAGCTCCTCAATAAAAGAAGAACATCTGTATTGAACATGCAGAGAGCTTTTTTTCTTGTCCTTATTTCCTAAACAATATATTATAACAACCATTTGCATAATACTTACTTTGTTTTCAATCTTATAAATAACCTTAAGGTAATTTAAAATATGCAGCCAACTATACCACTTCATATAAGGGCCTGGAATATCCATGGATTTTGGAATGGAGGAGTGTCCTGGAGCCAGTCCTGCAAGGATATCAATGGATAACTCTATAAGCACTTTATTTACAAAGGAGAAAGTAAGTCCCAGTGCAAGTATCTAGAACAGTTTAATATCACTGCCTCTGCAGAGTTTTGCAAGGTTAGAGAAGGGGGTGGGGGACAAAGCGTTATTATTTCTTCTAAGAAGCTTTTTAGCATCATTTGACTTGTTAATCTATTTTCCTGTAGTGTTTGCATAAAATTTAAGATGTTATTTTCAAAAAGTAAATTTATTCCTTACAATAGCTTAAAGGCTTAGAGCAGTAATTTGTGTCCTCTTAAGGTCGACTTCACAATAGAACACTGAGCTCTATTAATTTGTCTTCTTTATCAGCCTATCCCAGATTTGGGGCCTGTGTATGGCCACAAATGGATTCTCAGGTGCCACAATTTTGTGTGTCTATATTTATTTCAATTATAATTAAAAATGTATTAGCCTATTCTGGATCTTTTGGGTAGCTACCATGTAACTATCATTTTGTTCCCAGTCTGTTCAGGCTGTTATAACAAAATACCAAACACTGGCTGGCTTATAAACAATGGAGGTGTATTTCTGACATTTCTGGAGTCTGGGAAGTCCAAGTACAGCCAGCCCAGCCTGCTCTACCTGTGCTAAAGACTGCAAATAGCAAAGAGACCACTTAGATCTCTTTGGGCCTGGTGTTGAAATGCCAGGGGGCGTGCACAGGACAGAAGCCTCTCAGACTAATTGAAAAGAATGTCAATCAGTGTGCTTATATAGCCAGTAGAGGGACATGCATATACTTGTGCTTAGATTATAATTCTACCAATCACAGCCTTGTATATGCATAGCTTCCGTTTCCACCAATCACAATCTTCACATAAGAACCAGGTATAAGCTTTGCATAGGGACCAATCACAGGCATTTGCTGAGTCAATGGGGAGGTGCTCCCCTTCCTGTTCTGAGTGTGACTAGGTACAGAATGGGCAGGGTCAACCAGAGGAATGTCTCTAAAACTAGTGTAAGTTGCCTGTAGTAATCACACTGGAGCAAGCCCTTTGGAATCAGGAGTCATGGCTTCAGTGGTGGCAGCTGGCATTGCTGTGGCCCTTGCAACTGAAGCGGATTTTCCTTAGAATGACTGTGGAATGTCCCTAAGAGTACTGTCCAGCTGGGGGCCAAAGAAGGAGCTGCTCAGCTGACAGCTCCCTGCTCAAGGCAGCCAGGTGTAAAGGAAAGGGTCTGTCAGCTGTCAGTGGGACTGCCCCACACTTGACAACTTTTTTGTAAATTTAAAATATCAAAGTGTGCTTATAATAAAGACCTAGGAAATTAACATCTTTAATAGTATTTAACAGCTCCTAACTTCTAACCAATACCCTAAGGACCACTGGGTCCTTCTAACTGACTTAGTGTTATGGGGGGGGTGTATATGTGTGTGTGTGTGTGTGTGTGTGTGTGTGTGTGTAACATAATATAAGTATTAAAATGTATATCTATTTTCATATTAGTACATATTGGAACAAATAATAATCATTTAGTTCAGTCATTGGCAGATTTCTTTTGCTTTAAATTAACTTCAACATTATTTAAGCTACTTTGTTAAAAGAATCTGTATATTACTTAATTTTGAGAAGTACTGGTTTATTGTCTGAGTTGGGTCAGTGGCTATAATCCAGGATGTGATGCCACTGAATATGTGCTCACCAATACTCATTAACTTAGAAGGAAGTACTTTTTTCTTTTCAATCTTAATTTACCATCTTTATGATCAAATGATGATGCAGTAAGCAGCTTTGTTATTTTCATCACTACAATTTTTTTATTCTGACCTCTACTTATTGGGTTTATTCATTGATATGTAACTTATGTCTCCCCTGAACTCAGAAAGAGGAGTATGGAAACATCTGGGGGTGGTATGCTTTAGGGTTTTTTGGTTTTGTTTTGTTTTTTTGCTGCTATGGCAATTTACTATAAATTTAGTGACTATGAGACAGCACAATGTATTATTTTACAGTCTGGAAGTCAAAAATGCAAAATGAATTTCACTGGTCAACAAGTCCTCCGGAGGCTGGGTGTGGGGGGCTGGGTGGGCAGTTTCCTTGCATTTTCAGTTTCTAGAGGCTTCTTGTACTATACTTGACTCTTAGGACCATACCACACTGACGATGCTTAGATCACTGAATCTCCTTTATACACACCAACTGTCTCTCAATCTCTTTCTCTCTGATTTGTTAAGAACTCTGTGGTTCTAATGGGTCCACCCAGATAATTCCAGAAAATCTCCCCATTTCAAGATCCTTAATTTAATCACATCTGCAAAGTCCTTTTTGCCCTGTAAGGTAACGTATTTGTAGGTTGCAGAGATTAGGACATGGACATTTCGGGGTGGTATTATTCTGCCAGCCATAAAGGAGTGCCACTGTGCCAGACTGTCCCCAGAGCAGAAACAGGAATGGGAGAAATATGCTCTGGAAAGTGTGGGAACGCATTCTCTAGAAATAGCCAGAAAAAGGGAATGGATGTAAGTCAAGAGAAAGGCATTTTATGGTAGTGGGGAGGAGTCTTGGAAAGGGTGCCTGGTTGGCAAGGAGCTGACAAAGGAAGGTACAGTGGACCTCTTCCCGCAGGAATCCACACACATGAAGACTACAAGAAACCCCATTCCCAGATGGCCATCTATGCTTTTATTTCAAACTTTGCAAACACACCAAGAAGTGACATCAGCAATAAGTGGCTCTGCCACCATGTTTCTGTTAGGCCATTGTTTTTTCTTCTGCCATGATTCCATAAGAAACCCGAGACTAATCAGGCTAGCCCAAGAAGAGAAAGAAAAAAAAGATGAATCATAAACCACCCTGGAGATAAATCGAGAAAAAAGGAAAACTGATGTCTGTTCAAAAGAATGCCATCAGTGAAAAGCTGCACTTGCCAGGGGGCTATTTACACAGGGTTTCAATTCTTTAAAATTAAATTTTAAAACACGGGGAGTCTGATAAAAATCTACCAGCTGCTTTTATTTTCTAAGAGATTCCCTTTGGCGATAGCTACTGAAAGCCTGGGTGGATTTCTCTCTTGCTGTGTCAGTCAATGTTCCTTCCCTGCCCCCTCCTGCTGCCTCCATCAGTGTGTGTGTGTGTGTGTGTGTGTGTGTGTGTGTGTGTGTGTGTGTGTGTGTGTGTGTGGTTTCTCTCTCCCCTGTACAGACACAGCCCTCTGCCTGCTTCTGCTGTGGCAGCTCTCCCTGGCTTTCTGCTGCCTCTTTCCTCTCCTTTCTCTTCCAGCTTAGCTCCTTGCCTTCTGGTAAGTGTGACAAATACTTCCCCAGCCCTATGAGAAGTGGTTTGTGGATGGCCAGTGAACTGGTGAAGAACTTTTCATTGTTGTTTTATATTGCCTTGTGTTGCTCAGAAGGGATGGTGTGTGTGACAGTTTGCTGGGACTCCAGTACAAAAGGAAAATTCTCAAAGAGGAGGGGGAAAGGTCAATAAAATTTATACAGGATAAAATTTAGAAATAGTTTCTTTGCTATACAATAAGTGACCATAAAAGGGGCCATTTAAAAGTAACAAAGTTCTTTTCTGCTTTTTCCCTCTTGTTAATTTGTGTTGAGGCTTTTTTTTTTTTTTAGGAACTGAGTTTTCCTGTCCTGTGGTTTCAATGATTTAGTTGTTCTGCTTTAAAATAAATGTGGGGGGAGAGGATGTAGCTCCATGGTAGAGTGCTTTCTTAGCATGCATGAGGCACTGTGTTCAATCCCAGCACTGCCAAAAAAAATTAAATTAAAATAAGTGTGGGACAGGAGTTTAAAGAATAGCCATGGAACTAAGTATAAAAACACCAATGACTGTGACATCTGAGAATGACTAAGTCAAATGCAAGCAAAACATTTGCATGTAGCTTAACCACAGCAAAACTAAGGTCAAACAGTTTTTAAGTAATTGCTTTGAAGTTTGGTTTACTTTAGATTTTTTTGTTTTCATTCAAAGATAATGTCCTCAACACATACCCACATACGAACTTAAACCAATAAATGCTTACTATTTTTAATTAGATTTAAAAATTATTAACTTGACTTTCAAAGATGAAGTGATAAATACCACATCTCATTTTAGAAGAGCTTAAAATAACTTCTGGCTGGACAGCAGGTGACATGTGTCTTTCTCTGAGTTTAGGGGAGGCCTAAGTTATATATAGATACGTGTGCCTAGTGAGTTGAGGTCAGGATCAAGAAACTGCAGTGAGGACAATGAAACTGGTTGCTGCTTTATTTGATCATCAAGTTGGTGAATTAAAATTAGTGAACTTACTTTCTTTGAAGAAAGTAAGAGTGGGCCACCATGGGTGGGAGTGTTTATACACTAGATTTTCTACTCTTGTTGGCTTCTAACCATTTGACACTGGCTGCCCTGACACTGGAAGAAGGAAGCTGTGCCAAGTTTGGAGAACAGTTTTTGTTTTCACTTTCATGCCAACACAACAGCAAAACTTGTGAATTATGAGTATCTTGACATATTTTTATGCTGCTAATTAGCAGCATTATTAAATATTATTTACAAATAAAATGCACCATAACTTAAAGGCTTAAGCAAAATTAATTGTCCCTAGAAATGGCAATAGCCAGAAACCATGGACTTTTTTTTTTTTTTTTGTTAAATGGAATTATTATTTTTTTTTTATTATTCATATGTGCATACAAGGCTTGGGTCATTTAAAAATACGGAACGCTTCACGAATTTGCGTGTCATCCTTGCGCAGGGGCCATGCTAATCTTCTCTGTATCGTTCCAATTTTAGTATATGTGCTGCCAAAGCGAGCACAACCATGGACTCTTTGACTCAACTCATCCCGTCACCCCATCTTTCTCAAGAGTCCATATTATATCTGAATTATTTTTCTAGCTGGTCTTCTTCCTATTTATTACACATTGCTATTTTTAAAAAAATTACTTTTCCCCAGAGTTTTATAATTTAGAAGAGAAAATTGTCATCTGTTTTCGTCTAAAGAAAGTTACCTTTTAGAGTGGAAGAAAATGATATTACAGAGATATGAGGAATCAATACTATATAATCATCACCATGTTTCTATATTAGTTGGTTTATTTGCCTTCCCTCAATCCCTTGTCTTATTTCAGAAATGGTGCTAGTTTGGACCTCAGGAATAGTGTTTTGCTGATTGATAATTGCATGTTGCCCCACTGGGCAAAAGAATACACTAGCGAAGCAAGAAATATCTCCTGTGTTACCACAATAATGGGTCATATCAAAGCATACTAATCGAATCTTGACATGGATCAAAATAGAGTTTAGGAACATAATGAGCGATTTTAGTAACTACAGCAGCTCTTACATTAAATATTTTGACTTTGAAAGAAAATGTATATATCCATATACTGCCAATGATTATGAATCTACACAGATTTACATAAGAAAGTGGTAATATAAGTTGGCTTATCTCAGCAAAATGACAAATACAAAAAACAAGAGCAAAATTACTCAGTTAAAGTCATTAATAAGGGATACTACTGAAAACTGATCAAGCCAAAGATATGTTAGTAATATGGCTGGATTTGAAGAATGTCCCCACTGTTCCTTCATTACTAATTGCAATGCCAGGGTTTGTGAAAGTAAATTCATTCTATGTCCCAAACCATAATTAGCTGTACCTATTTGAGAGATATCCTTACTGTTAATACATAACTGGATTAACTACATGAAAACGTAACTGTGCTTACCACTAGACACCACTTCCATAATGGAAACCAGTCACTCTGAACAGCTCTCAGCAGAACAATCAACAGTCCCAGGGGACAGTTCACCACCAGCCAATCAAAATGTCCTGGGGAAACAACATGGTGAGGATTCCTCAACCTCACTCCGAACATCAGAGCAAGAGGCAAGCGTGCACCCTGAAAAGGGAGCTCATGATATCTCTGAAGAGTTGAATCGACAGCTGGAAGACATCATAAGTACATATGGATCTGCTGCCAGCACAGCAGAGAGAGAGGACACTGCCAAGGTCAAGGAGCAGCCTGAAACTGCAGAAGCACCTGACAATGAGGATGGAGACTGTGAAGAAATCACTGAAGAGGCTGAAAAAGAATCCATTGCTTCTGGAGAGCCATCCACAGTCAAAGAGCCTGTCAGCAATAAAGAGCAAAAGAAAATCCTAAAAGGATTAGGCAAGTAATTAGTATTTTAATACATTGCTTTTCTTTTAATTATTCTTAAAAAGAGACACTTCCTTCAACCTTTTTTGAAAGCTACATCTAATATTTGGATTATTAAATAGCTTCTTTCAGGGCTTCCTTAAATTTCCTCTTGCTGTATTTGACAATGACAACACTTTCCCTTTAATAGAGGTCAAAAGAATTTTTCAACATGCTACCCATTAATCTTTCTCCCAATGGAAATTGTCAACACTCTTACAGAGAAAATCAAAATTCTTAATTTTTTTAAGGTCTTATTGGTTTATTCCCACCTAGTCCCAGCTTGACCTCATCCACTCTACCTTACAGCATCCCCTTCCTGAACACTCACCCCTGTTTCACCACCACTATAATCATTTTGATCTTTGCTTTCAGTTCTTTAGACTTGCCATGCTCCATCCCCAAGTTCTATAGGCTGGTGCAGTCTCTGATCAGAAGATTCCCAAATTCTTTTTGTCCAATGTAGAAGCATATAGGCAGGACAGGTGGGTGTGGTGAGGGTAATAATAGAGGTTTATTATAGGAAAGGGAGAAAGGGGTTACAGATTGGGTCTCTGCCAGGTGGAATGGAAGCACTGCATGTAGGGATTAAAATAAAAAAAGAAGAAGACAGAATTTTATTTTAGGTCATTTTTATGTCATCCTTAACTTGAAGGTGGGGAGAAAATCTGCATCTTTAACTTGAAGGGGGGAAGGAGGGCTCCAATGGCCTTCAGACCAGGGGGAGGATCTGGGTGGACTCATGCATACATCTATGCTAAGTTTCAGGTACCACAAGTCCTTCAGGGAGAAAATTTCCACTCTAGTTTAACAAAGGATTTGCAATTGAAATGGAGCTCTCTGGGCTCAGAGAGAACATCAGAAAGGGGGAGCAGGATGTTCTAAATCAGGTTGTATAGTTCTTAAAAGTCCCAAACTCTCCCTAAGTCTAAACTGCCTCACAAAGACCTGTGCACATCCCATTTTTCTTTACTTAGAAATCTGTGTCCATTCCCCGCTGCCACCCAATTCAGCCCTTTAGGCACCTAACTCTCCTATTCATCACCTCGCTCATAACTAAAATGATATTTTATTAGCCCAACCCTACATAAAAATCTTAACTGAGGTCTTCATTGTACCATGTTTCTTTCCTTCTTAGCGTTAACCAGCATTTGAAATGATCCATTTAATTCTGAGATTATTTGGTTAATGTATGTCTTTCCTCCTAGATCCTTTATCTCAAGAGCAGGTGTATGTGTACTTGGGTGTCACTGGATTCCTATTTCAAATATCAGGGTATGACAGATTGTAGGCTCAATAAATATTTGTTACAAGAATGAATGAATGAGAAAATTGTTTATAACAGTGCTAGTGGGGTCTAAATATAATCAAAATGTAAAAAATAGAGATATGTTTCTCTATAAAATGATTGTCAATGAGATCATTTAATAGTATATTCCATTACTACATAAAATAGTTTTGATTATGCACAACTCATTGGAAACATGCCAATTGTATTTGTCAACAATTGCAGAAAATAATTGTACTTTCATTATTTCATTGGCTCAATGAATATCTGTTAATGCTTAGCTGTTATGAGGCACTGTGTTAGGTGCACAAAAACAAAGAAGTCAGTGGCTGTTTGGTCAAGGAGCTCTAGGTATAGAGAGAAACACAGACATACAAATGAATTGTTATATATGATAAATGCAGAAATAGAGGAAATTTTTTTTGAAGAGCTTGGGGAAATTGGTAACACCAACAATAGCCGTGAAAGAAGAATGAGAATTTTAATTTTACAGCTATGACCAAAAACATGTTACTGCACATAGGAAAGTCCCTCTCCTTGTCTTCCCTGGTGAATTTCACTGATGCAACACTCACCACAAATACCACCTCCTATGAGAAACTTTCCTTAGAATGACCAGGTAGAATTAGCATCACCTTCTTTCCTTCTCCATTAAATTTTTCTACAGTAATTGTATAACTACCTTCCATGATAGATGGATAACTTATCAAGGATAGGAACCAACCACATTTTATTCATTTCTAGAAGACAGTGTAGGAGAGTGAAATGTCTTGGGTCAGAACTGGCTTCAAATTCCAATAACAGATTACCATCTATAAGCCTACAAGTATGCCTACACCGGAACAGGATACCACTATCATGCATAAAACTCTTGCTGCAATGCTTTCAGAAAGGCCTAAATGAAGTTGGGGGCCAGTAGTTCAAACCTGTAATCAATACTAGCTACTTGAGAGGGTGAGATTGGGAGGGTCACAGCTCAAAGCCAGCCCTAGCAAATAGTTCATGAGACCCCCATCTCATCAATAGGTGGGTGCAGATGGCAGATGCCTATCATCCCAAGCTATGCAGAAGGCTGAGATAGAGAGGATTGAGGTTCCAAGGCAGCCTAGGCAAAAAATTTCATGAGACTCCATCTTAACAGAAAAAAAAAAAAAAAAAAAAAGAAAAATGCTGGGTGTGCTGGTTGTTCCCCAGTCATCCCAGCTATGGTGGGAAGAATAAAATATCAGGGAAGGATTTCTTTATCCTAATATTTTAGGATTCCTTAATCTTAAAATAGGAGAATAAAGGTCTAGACTAGCCTTGGCAAAAAGCAAGACCTTATCTCCAAAATAACCAGAGCAAAAAGGATTGGAGGCATAACTCAAGTGGTGGAGCACCTACCTAGCAAGCATGAAGTCCTGAGTTCAAACCCCTGTCCCACCAAAACAAAAAAGAAAGCCAAATGATACCATCTAGTACATACTTGACCCACACAATAAAAGATTAAAATAACCCATGCAGTGCCTTTAAAATATTTTCAAGTTCCAAAGTACAAAGTTTAACTTAGTCTAGTGTTTTGGGAACTTGGGAAACATGACAAATTGCTCAGTGTTGCAGAGAAATTTTTCCTTCTCTAATCAAAACATCTTAGATGGGTCCCTTCGCATTAGTCATGTTAGAGTCTCCATAAGGCAGCATATAAAGTCTTATTCCAGAGGTGAACAATTTTAACTGTCTCCAACCAGAATAGTTCTTATATATTTTGCTTGATCATCCTAAAACTTTTACATAGGAATCTCTGTTGGGTATGTTGATAAGGGGAAAGAAATGCAAGATAACCAGTCATGGCTTCTTCTCAATCTTCCATGAGTTAGTTCATAATCTATATTAAGCTTACAGTTACCAAATAATCAGAATCTTTTTAGAGTAAGAAAAAAATTGACATCTTTAGTACTACCACTATCATGGAATGTGGTTGTGAATCAGGCCACTCTAGTCACTCATTTGGGGACTGATGACCTTTCTGTGCCACCCAACGCTATGTCATTAGCACAAAATAGCACTAAACACAGTACTAGTTCACCTACATTGTGAGTAGAACATTTTTAGGCAAACCTACATATGTAACTTCCTGTTTGAAATTATTTCGGTTGTCTGTAAGTGGCTTTAAGAAACTTTTTGACTACATATGAATTAAATGGCACTGCACTACTGTTAACACAAACCGTTTTCAAAAGCAGCAGAGATTCAGAACTGGTGTATCTAAAGTGCGGCCAAGGCATGGTGACAATTTTGATGGAGAGCAGATTGCGGAAGCGATGGTGCTGTGGATTCAGAGTGCTTCCTCTTTCCTTTTGGAGGACAAATACAAATTCTAGCTGTGACCTTCTTCTAGAATCTACTTTGACCTTTCATAGAATTTTAATAAGTCATTCAGCTTATTTTAGCTGAAGATATATACTTAAACTTTGCTTCCATACTTAATCAAAGATACATCTTTGTTATATTTGTCAGGTATTACTTACTTCATGGATATTTTTGAAGTGCTACATTTGTTCTGACCCCCTCATCCAAAGGATATACATTGTTATATTTGAGGATCAGACAAAGGTGAATAGTTTCTTTACTGCCAGAATTCTCTGATCATTTATATATACACAGTGAAAATCTCAAGCAATGATAGGCATGAGTATCATTTCCTAAACTTACTGGACCAGCAATAATTCTTTTCTTTTTTCAAAGAACACTTGAATATTTGGGAAGGGTCTCTAAAACCTAGGTATTCAGAGCTTGTTTTTCCTATACAGGATGGTATATTTTCCCACAATCAACACACCACATACACTGGAGAAATTGGGGAACATTGTTTAAGCCTCTTGTGCTGGGAGAGACTCCTTCCCCCTGAAATCTGAACTGGAAGGAATAAAAAGACTTCCCACTATGCAGCACAGTGATACCTCCTGTTAGCATCTACAGAGTATCCCTCTTGTCTCCTCACCCCCACCCTCCAGGCTGCTCAAAACTAACTTATTCATCAGGGTTTTCTTTTTGACAATCTTATGTGGCTGCACAGGCACCACATAGTAATAAACACAAGACAATGATAAAATATAATATACCTTTTCATATTTCAGTTGCAACTGATTAAATAGGAAATCATGAGTTTGAAGCATAAGCCTGAGAGAAAAACAAAGCTGGTACATATACCAGTCAGCTCAGAATCCATCTACTCAAGCCTGGTAATTTTATCGACAGGGAAAATAAGGTCCAGGGAATTTAAGAGTCTACCAAACAAGGCTATTCAGTGACTTGATGTGATTATGAGATTAGTCATAAACAAAGCAAGGGGATTGAACTGATGTCACTAACACTGCAGGACCAAAGATATATAGAAAGCATCAGCATATTGATTGAGGAATATTGACTATGGATTTTGCCCTAGTGTGAGGAAGTTTTAAAATTATTCTTTTCTCTCTGAATTTCAATATTATTTTCTATGAAGTAATTTTCAATATTTATTTCTATGAAATGAACTGACAATAAACAGATAACGTGCTTAAGACATGGAGAGATGAAACTCAAAGAGGAGCAAGACGGCTGACCCTCATCCAGAGCTTAAAGGGATAGGAGCTTGGACTTCTTCTTTTTTTTAACTGTCTTAGAATAATTTATTAATGCATATACAATAAATTGTCTCCCCCAA